ACCGAGGGTTGCGATCCCATTACTGGTAAGTAAAAAAGACAAAAAGGAAAAAAAAAAAAAAAAAGAACATTCCCAGCCTCCCAGAAGCCCCCACAAGCTCCTCACAGCCTATGTCCCCGATAGCAGTCACCCTCCTACCTTGCGTGGGGTGGTGGCCCTGTATCACTAGTTTTAAGCAATGTGATTATGACGTGTCTTAGGTTTTCTTTGTGTTTATCCTGGTAGAGTTCATCAACCATCCATTCATGAATTTATAGTTTTGTTTTGTTTTGTTTATGACCATTAAGGGGATCACAACCCTTAGCTTGGAGTTGTCCGCACGACGCTCAGCCAGTGAGTGCACCGGCCGTCCCTATATAGGATCCGAACCTGCAGCCTCAGTGCTATCAGTGCTGCACTCTCCCGAGTGAGCCACGGGGCCGGCCCATGAATTTATAGTTTTTATTAAAATTAGAAAAAAGTAAACCATTATATTTATCAAATATGTTTACATCTCAGTCTCTCTTTTTTCTCTTTCTCTTGCTCCTATAACATGTACATTAGGCTACTTGATATTGTCTCCAAATCACTGTGGCTCTCTTCATTTTAATTTCAGTCTTTTTTTTTAATGTGTGCTTTATCTTAGATAGGTTTCATTACTGTCTTCATGCTTACTGATCTTTTCTTCTATAGTGCCTAATCTATGTTAATTTTATCCAGTGAAACTTTTACTGTAGATATTATATTTTCATTCTAGAACAAAGGTTGACAAACTCATTTTGTAAACAGCCAGTAATAAATCTTTTAGGCTTTCCAGACTATTCAGTCTTCTTGGCCTGGACTAGGACTCAATAAAGGCTCAAGGGGACCCAGATGCAGATTTCTAAAGCTCTTTTCATATACAGTTTTCTGCGTCTGGAACTCTGTCCTGTCTCTCTTTAGTACATCAAGGCTGCGACACTCTCTTAGGGTTCCTCTTTCCAAATGCACAAATTTCCTCCAGGCAGAAATCCACAGCAGTCCCCAAGCTTACCTAATCTGTTTCTCTTCTTTCAGGAATTGCCATTTTCTCCTGTCTACTGACCAATGTCTGCAAACAGTTGATTCACACATTTTGTGACGTTTTCTAGTTGTTCCATTATGGTATTCTAAGCCCAATGTTTGTTACCCCATCATGGCTGGAAACAGCAGTCTTCTCTGTCCTTCACAGAGGAACTGTGGCCAGGCAATGCCTTGTTAGGTTGGTGAAACAAAGGGATCAAATGACTCTGAGCCAAACGCTTACCACATCACCTTCACAGAGGAACTGTGGCCAGGCAATGCCTTGTTAGGTTGGTGAGACAAAGGGATCAAAAGACTCTGAGCCAAACGCTTACCACATCAGGGAGTTTATTTCCAGCAAACCTAGAGGGGAGTCTGAGAGATCAGTTCCCACACCCATACAGACTAATAGAGGTTTTATAGGGTTTGAATTAGTGGAAGGGGTTTGGTAGCTATTCTGAGCATTCGGTACTTTGTAACAGCTCTGCGGTTTTCCTGTTTTGCACAAGATTCAATTTTGCACAGGATCCAGTTTTTCTCAGAAAGCACTTTGCTTAAGAGAGAGGGGCAGGGGCAGGGTGAGGAAGTGGCTATCACGGCTGTGCTTGTGCTAAGCTGACTGTGAGGCCTGATATGCCTGACATACATTTACATGCAGCCTGTTTGTCATATTAGTGCATCGTTCTATGACAATACATCTTACCGTTTATTGTTATTGTTTGCTTCTTTCTTTCTTACTTCCCTTCTTTATTTTAGCTCCCACTCATGGCTGAGGACATGTGGTGTTTCTCTTTGTGTGCCAAGAGAACTGTGCTTATTAGAGTTGGGAAAGGGGGGGGGATGAGGGTTAGTGTGAAATTAGTTAAGGGTCACAAAGATTGATATGCTTTGTAAATATGAGTAAACTAATTATCCTGATTTGATCAGCACATATTGTACACATGTATTGATATTCATTTCTGTACCCCGCAAGTATATATAATAAATTATCTTTCAGAAAATATTGTACTATTTAGCCTCTAACCAATAAATAAACAGTAAGTGAAAGAAAGCTGATAGATTTGGTGATCTCTGACCTGTTTCATGGAGTATTGCTACTCCATGATGTTTGACATTATGAGATTATACAGAAATAGTGGTTATAATCTGGACTTTTAGTGGGGAATTAATGTCCACTTAAAATGGTTGATGAAAACGTCCTGCTGAATACCACATGGCAGGAATATTGTTGAACAAAATAATCTTTACTAAAAACTCAAAATGATTATAGCAGGTCTGAATTCAAGATTTACGTTTATTTCCTTCCACATCCACACCAGGTTAAAAACATTTCTGGTATGTACAGTGGAGGGCCTGCAACTGTGAGGGCTGAGGACAGCACGTTCCTGGGTAAAGGTTGAGCGTGTGTGCTGAGATTCTAGTGGAAGCCGAGTCACTGAAGTCCGATGCATGACGGCAGGGAGTCGTCCCCTGACAAAAGTCCTGAGAAGCCAAGAAGTTGCAGATGGAAGAATATCTGATTAACGCTGCCTTTTAGTTCCTCAAGACTGGGAAGCAGATAGGACTGGGATAGTTGGACGTGAAGTTAGTACTCATGAGCCTGCTGGTGAAGGAGGGGCAAGTCATCTGAGGCTTTTTAGAAGGTCTCTTTGGCGAGCAGTCGGGTTACTCTGGCAGGCTCTCCAACGGGGTCATACACTGGGGACACGTCATATCAGGGCTTCCCTGTCGAGCAGGGAAGCCAAAATAACAGCAAGGTGCACAACATAGAGGGCATGGTTTTTAGATTGTTCTTGAGGATTATTGAGAGATCTACATAGTTAGTGGTTTATTTTACATGGCCTTAAAAAAAGACTATTACTCTCCTTCATGGGAATACTTTGCACTAACCAGAAGTTGAGTAAAACTTGGTATTAAAGACAGAATTATTTGAAAGTTGGATAAGCCTTATTTGAATGTGATCTTAAAGGAATACTCTGGGCTGGTACATGTGTGAACCTATTTTTGGGTTTCTGTTTTTTTCATTTTAGCACATCACACATGATCTGAGTCCCCGCTGCTGAGGGGTGAGCCCTCCACCCTCCCGCTTCTGCACCCAAGAGCCAGCCCCAGGTGGGCACAGCAAAGGTGGAACAGCACCCGTGGCCTCTCTGATGAGAACCATGCACCCTGGGGGTGACAGTGATGAGGACTTGCGTGCACATTTGAGAAGAGCAGCCAGGCCTCGCTAGGGAAGCAGCACATACAGGCACACACGTGCACGCTCACACGTACAAACACACACGCACCCACACGGGTGGAGAGTTCAGGGGGTGGAGGATGTGGCATTGGGCTCTGCTGACCCGGGGAGGGGCCACTGTGATGGGGTGATGGAACCCCATGATGTCACTGTTGCCAAGCGCCGCTGCCTCTGAGTTCCGTGGCAGTAGGAGGCTCATTCTGGAGTCTGCGAGCTGTGTGTGCAGGTCCCTTTTGTAGGCTACAGGTACATCTCTGCACAGGTGAACAGATTCTGGTGAGTGTGACCTGCTCTCTTCCCTTCCTGCTGATTTCCACACAGGTGCTACCAGGTGGGTGGCCCAGGCCTCGCTGGGTGGCTGTCGAGGGTTATGCCCACTGGGCCTCACCAGGTGCCTGTTCTGTGCTAACCGCATATACAGTTGTCCCATTCATCCTCACAGACACTCCGTGGGGTTAAGGCTAATGTGTCCACTTGGCAGGTGAGAAGCCTGGGGTCAGACAGGAAGTAACTGGGCCTGGGACCCAGAGGTGACCCTGGGCTGTGCTCTCTGCCCTGCCCTGTGTCATGATAGACACAACTTCTGGCCTCTGCAGCCTCCCTCCCTAGATTCAGGTTCTTCCTGAGATTCCAAACCGTGATGAGGCAGAGCCTGCCCCTGGAAGAGCCACTGAAGTGGGGTCTCCATGGGCTGTGAAGATGGAGAGTGGGGGTGGAGGGGCGGCCTGCGCCCTGGTCTGTGATGGGAGATGGGTCACCCCAGGTGGGCATCTGGTCACCTCTGACCTCATAGAGCATCACTCACGGCCTATGTAAGGCCCACCCAATTGTGAGGTCCCTAGGCCGGGAGCAAGGTGGGGAGCCCTCTGTCTTGGGGCAGTTGTGGACAGGGAAGGAACCACTGAGGGAGGCCAGGCAGGTGACAAGTGTCTGCCCTGCAGGCCAGGGTGGGGAAAGGGGCTCACCCTCTGTGTCCTGCCCTCTGTCTCGTCCTCTAGAGGCCTCATCCGCCCCTCCCCTCATGGGTATTCCCTTGGGACCGTCTCCAAGGTGGGACCATGTCTCTGACTGTGCTCCAGGACACATCCCCAGAGCTCACTAGTTTCTCATCTGTGCTTGGGAAAAAGACGGAGCCTCTTCTGATACTGCCACGCTCAGAACTGTAAACTCCAGTGTCCCTCTTGCCTAAGGCATGGCCTCAACAAGCACTGAGGCTACTTCTAAGTCACATAGGTCACCCTTTTGCCCAAACCCAGAACATTCTTGCTAGGCTGGTGCTAAGATTTAAGTAGAATTCAGCAGTCATGAGATTTCTTTTTGCCTCTAAAGAATTGGACGACTGTGTGTTTCCTGAGATCATCTGGGAGGCTAATTGTATAGAGACCTGTGGTCTCTAAATCACGTTCTGCTTCCTGGTGCCCAGAACGGCCCATCGGGGCCCTTCGTGCTGAGCAGGTAACACACGTGTGTGTCTGTGCAGGGACCTTGGGGACAACAGGCCTCACCTCCCAGGTCCCTGGTTCTCAGGTCCTCCGGCAGTAGCTTAACCTTGGCCAGGGGAAGAAACCCCCGAGACCACTGTGGGGTGGAGACAGAGTCTGGTCCCTTTTACTGGGGGTTGGGGGCGGAGGGTGGGAGTGTTGCTGGTGGAATTTTGGATCCCTGGCCTGAGCAGTTAGGGGTACTCTCTGAAGCTCTCAGGGTCAGTGCTAGCTCTGGATTACTTTTGTCTTGCAGACTAAACATGAAGATGGGTATAGAGACCCTGTGGGCCCAGGAGGTGATCGACATCATAGAGAAGTACCAGCAGGTACAGGGTTGGCTGCTCCCTTGAGGCAGGCAAGTCCTGGCCTCTCCTGCTGTCCCTGAGGTCAGAGGGGCCTGGGCTCCCTGGGGACACAGGGGAGGGAGGAACCATCAAAAGCCACCCATGCCCCCAACCCATCACCATGGCCCCCTCACTCCACGCCCTCTCGGGGTTGCAGGGACACCAAGCTGGGACACTGGTGAAAAACTGGGATGAGGAGTTCAAAATCTACAGACGCATCGACCGGCTCGGGTTGCTGCAGTGAGTTCTCTGACATCCCCCATCTCATCTCGGGGTTGGGCTTTGTTTCGGTTGGTTTGTGTTGCTATAACAGAAATACCTGAGACTGGGTAATTTATAAGGAAAATTGGTTTGTTTGGCTTACGATTCTGGGACAGCTGCATCTGGCACAGGCCTCAGGCTGTTTCTACTCACGGTGGAGAGTGGCAGGCAGCCGGTGGGTACAAGCAGATCACATGGTGAGAGAGGAAGCAAAAGAGAGAGAGAGAGAGGAGGTGATAGGGTCCGATAAACAACCAGCACTCGTGGGAACTAATCGAGCAAGAACTCACTCATTACTCCCCCCTCCCCCAGGGAGAGCATTAATCCATTCATGAGGGATCCACCCCCATGACTCAATCAGTTTCCAACACTGCCACATTGGAGATCAAATTTCTTTTCTTTCTTTCTTTCTTTTTTTTCTTTTTTTCTTTTTTTTAAAGATGCCTGGTAAGGGGATCTTAAACCTTGACTTGGTGTTGTCAGCACCACACTCTCTGAAGTAAGCCAACTGGCCATCCCTATATGGGATCCGAACCCATGGTCTTGGTGTTATCAGCACCACACTCTCCCGAGTGAGCCACTAGCTGGCCCGGAGATCAAATGTACACATGAGTTTTGGAGGGGACAACACATCCAAACTCCATCAGGATCCATCCTTGAAAAGGTCAGCATGAGGCAGGGCGTGTCTCCCAGGCTTGTGATGACCTTTTCCTCAGGGGGGATAAGGGTCCCTTGCTCCCCTAGAGGTCCACCCTGGTCAGCACATGGCTGCAGTTCTGTGGCTCATCCAGGCAGCTCTGTGGAGATGGCAGGTACCCAGCTTTGGTTGGGCCAGGCCCTTGGGGGCTCAGAAGTGTGGCTTTTATGTCTGCAAAAGAAAGAGGCAACCTGAGGGCTGAGCCCTGTCCCCAGAAGGAGCCTGTCCTGCTGTCAGCTCAGCAGGGTGGGGCCAAAGGGCACGAGGACACTGGGTCCAGCCTGTGGAAAGTTGTGCATCAGGTCCCACCAGGATCAGAGGGGCACAAAGAGTCACAAAGTGTATGGAAGAGTGTGACCATGTAGTGAGATGAGGGGCAGGGACAGGGCCCCAGCCCAGGAATGGAAGGGGGAAGGCCATGGAGGCAGGCAGGGGTGGCAGATGAAGGCCACCTGAACTGTTGGTCTGGTGCTGGGAGGTCATGTGAGGCCTGGTCGGGAGGAGACCAGCCTGGAGTCTGTCTTTCCTGAGGTCACAGGATGGAGAGAGGGACGGAGTCTGGGGCAGCTGGGCTGCAGGGGACCAGATGTGACAGGTGACTTGGGGATGCATCTGACTGAGTGAGCCTGGGGATAGAGTGAAGGCACTGGGGGTGGACAGGCTGGATGAGGTGGGGCCAGGGACAGCAGCTCCACCTGGGACCCCTGAGCCTCAGGGGCCTCGGTACCTCCAAGGCCTGCAGTGCGCACTGGAGACTCCGCTGTCTGCTTGTTCGGGAACACTGCGGGCGGGGAGAGGATGCCATGGGCCGAGACAGGGCAGGAAGGCATGAGGAGGAAAGCCACTGCAGGGGGAGGGAGGAGGACACAGCACTGATGTCCCCAAGAGCCAGCTGAGGCTGGAGATCTGGCCCAGGGGAGCCTGGGGATAGAGTGAAGTCACTGGGGGTGGACAGGCTGGATGAGGTGGGGCCAGGGACAGCAGCTCCACCTGGGACCCCTGAGCCTCAGGGGCCTCGGTACCTCCAAGGCCTGCAGTGCGCACTGGAGACTCTGCTCTCTGCTTGCTCGGGAACACTGCTGGCGGGGAGAGGATGTCATGGGCCGAGACAGGGCAGGAAGGCATGAGGAGGAAAGCCACTGCAGGGGGAGGCAGGAGGACACAGCACTGATGTCCCCGAGAGCCAGCTGAGGCTGGAGATCTGGCCCAGGGCGATCCCGGCCACCTGCAGGGCCCTCAGTCGCCGTTCATGGCACACTGGTGTCCCTCAGCACAGGCAGAACAGGCACATGGCAGGAGTTTGGGCTGATTGGGGGGCTGAGGGGCCACATTCAGAGGATCTCATAGGGCAAGTGAAAGATCAGGGTCAATGTTGCTGAGGTGACAGCAGGGTCTGTGGGCCAGACAGGATGGGGTGAAGTCAAGGAACAGGCATGATCATTGGCCAGGGTGCAGACAGCGGCAGGGGGTGTTGAATGCTCAGAGCTTGGCCGGGGTGGTGTGCCACGTGGGACAGCTCCAGGGTGCACCCTCGACACACTGGGAAGGTCTCAACCCAGACCCCTTGGACCCCATGAAGGTGATGGGGTAACTTCCTTGGGGGCAGATGTCAGAGACCAGCCAACCGACCCTCAGGCAGTGCTGTTTCTTAGCAGCTCTGGACTCTCTCACCTCTCCCAGAGGGTGCTGCCTGCAGCCCAGGAGGGGCAGGTGCACGCTGCACCCCCAGCCCCCAATCATAGCCCTAGGTCTAGCTGCTTGACAAATTCTTTGATTTCAGCTGTTCAGATTGTTGATTCCTTTTCATTGATGTCACACAAATCTTATGCAGGTGTAACAGCTTGTAGGTGGTGTAATGGAGCTAGATTTCTGCTAAAGACCTGAGTAACTCAAAAGCTGGAGCACCTTTCTGCCAGGAGGGGTTCACTGCCTCTGGAACCATTGTCTTCTGAGTTTTATGTGGATCCTTTCATCTGTCAGAGCATTAAAATTATTGTCTATAATTGCAGCACCCCTAATATGCTAGTATAGGTGTGCTGCAGAGTAGACAGTGCAGAACTTTAAACAAGCTGCACTGCCTGGCACCCAGATCTTGGTTTATAATACCATTCTCCAAAAGAAGAGCCAGGTTTCTGTGGAGAAATGACCGAGTCTAGGACTGAGGAAGGACATATATATGATGAACCTGAAGCATCTTGTAGTGCCAGAAAGTAAGAAAATGCTCCAACAAAACAAAACCCAAAAAACCCCACAATGATGGGGGTATGTCAAAGAGATACAGGAGACAGCCAAAAGAGGTGATGGGGTAACTTCCTTGGGGGCAGCTGTCAGAGACCAGCCAACTGACCCTCAGGCAGTGCTGTTCTTAGCAGCTCTGGACTCTCTCACCTCTCCCAGAGGGCTCTGCCTGCAGCCAAGGAGGGGCAGGTGCACGCTGCACCCCCAGTCCCCACAGCCCCTGAGCGGCCCTGACTGGCCCTGCTGCACCTTTGCTTTTGTGTCTCAGACCATCCTGGCTGGCAGCCAGCAAAAAGGCCCTGTCCTCCCTTTCCGATGTGGTCTCCTGGGCTGCAACTTGCAGGTGGATGGGAAGGGATCCCGTCCATCCTTGGGGTCCGCTCAGGGAAGGGGATGGCTCCTGGCCTGCAGCAAGTCCTCAGCTCTGACTCCATTGCCTTTTAGTGAGAAGGAGCTTCCCCGTGTCACCACCCAGGGGGTGAAGGTAAGAGCTCTTCTTTCTGCCAGGGCTCGGTTGGTCACCTGTTAGGCAAGCCTGGCCTGCCTGTGGCCATGGGCAGGTGTCCATAGGAAGGACCCATAGTCACCAGGATGGGCCGAGATTCTGAGCTCCTGATCCCACGACTCCATCACAGGGGCTGATTACCAAACGTGCCCATCCCAGGTTTGCACATGCAGCTCAGGAGTGACTGCCACTGGCCAGCAGGACCCCACATTGAGGCTGGGACCCCATCCAGGCATGGGGGTTTGTTGCCTGAGGACACCATGTCCTGTGTTCACCAGGTCAGGCCACTCGTGCTCACCCAGTCAGAGGGTCTCAGCCCCAGGCTCTGCACCTTGTTTGGCGCTTTCCAGTTCTGTCCCATTAGGACCCCAAGCACAACAGTGACACGGAATCCATGGGCCACTCCAAAAAGCGCGGCAGCTCAGCTAAGTCCATCATCTGTCATTTTACAGCAAACAAAGAAGGAAATGGCCCGGTGCCACAAATGGCTGAAGATGTTTCAACATTGGGATAAATATAAAGGCAGCCAAAAGGTAATGTGGGGAGTGGAGGCCCCTGTGCCCACCCTGTGCAGAGGGAGGGTAAGTGGTGGTCACACATGACCCCTGGCACCACCTGCCTCTCAGCTGCTGGGCACCACCCAGTCCTGATGCCGAAGGGCCACAGGCCTGGGTCACCAGCTTTCCTGCACATCCCTGCAAAGGNGACCCCAGGACTCCATCACAGGGGCTGATTACCAAACGTGCCCATCCCAGATTTGCACATGTAGCTCAGGAGTGACTGCCACTGGCCAGCAGGACCCCACATTGAGGTTGGGACCCCATCCAGGCATGGGGGTTTATGGCCTGAGGACACCATGTCCTGTATTCACCAGGTCAGGCCACTCATGCTCACCCAGTCAGAGGGTCTCAGCCCCAGGCTCTGCACCTTGTTGGGCGCTTTCCAGTTCTGTAACATTAGGACCCCAAGCACAACAGTGACAAGGCATCCATGGGCCACTCCAAAAAGCGCGACAGCTCAGCTAAGTATATCATCTCTCATCTTATAGCAAACAAAGAAGGAAATTTCCCGGTGCCGCAAATGGCTGAAGATGTTTCAACATTGGGANCCTGGCTGGCAGCCAGCAAAAAGGCCCTGTCCTCCCTTTCCTATGTGGTCTCCTGGGCTGCGATTTGCAGGTGGATGGGAAGGGAGCCCGTCCTCCTTGGGGTCCGCTCAGGGAAGGGGATGGCTCCTGGCCTGCAGCAAGTCCTCAGCTCTGACTCTGTTGCCTTTTAGTGAGAAGGAGCTTCCCCGTGTCACCACCCAGGAGGTGAAGGTAAGAGCTGTTCTGTCTGCCAGGGCTCGGTTGGTCACCTGTTAGGCAAGCCTGGCCTGCCTGTGACCACGGGCAGGTGTCCATAGGAAGGACACATAGTCACCAGGATGGGCCGAGATTCTGAGCTCCTGATCCCAGGACTCCATCACAGGGGCTGATTACCGAACGTGCCCATCCCAGATTTGCACATGCAGCTCAGGAGTGACTGCCACTGGCCAGCAGGACCCCACATTGAGGCTGGGACCCAACATTGAGGCTGGGACCCCATCTAGGCATGGGGGTTTGTGGCCTGAGGACACCATGTCCTGTGTTCACCAGGCCAGGCCACTCATGCTCACCCAGTCAGAGGGTCTCAGCCCCAGGTTCTGCACCTTGTTTGGCTCNAAAGGCCCAGTTCTAGGTAGACTTAGCCTCTCCTGAGGAACCATGAAGACAAACACTGGAACCTTCCAGAACCATCACTCTGTGATTTCCCCCCCTTCCCCCTCCATGGTTACCCTGTGGACTCTCTCCAGAGCATTCTTCTCTCCACAGATGTCTCGCCGGGTGTACAAGGGGATTCCCCCCCAAGTGCGGGGTCGGGCCTGGTCTCTTCTACTGGGAGTGGACAAGGTCAACATGCAGAACCCAGGAAAATACCAGGTATGGCCCTTCTCCACTCAAGCAGACATAACACACACAGGCCTGGCATGGTCAGGAGCCCGGATGCCCTATCTGGGAAAAGCAGTGCCTGCAGGGTGCTCAGGTGCACATCCCGGGGATCTGAGACTCCATGCCCATCCTGCTTTTTCACAGCAATGTCTCCTACAACCTGGCCTTGAAGTTTCTCTCTCTTCTGGCACATTCTCTTTATGAATAGTATGTCACCAAGTCTGGCCAACACTCAAAGGAATGGGAGTTAGGCTGCACCATTTCCAGCAAGCTGTGTCACAGCATTTTGGGCATATCATCAAAGCGTCCCAATGTTGAAAGGGTCAGAAAGCTCACAGGTGAGGAAGAAGAGCAGCAGCCCTAGGAGGCAGCGGTGGTGGACGCAGCTCATCTCCATCCGACAGGATTCACACACGTTGTGAGAGCGAGCGGTGCCCAGGGTGTGGGGACAGCCCCCACCCTCCAGCACGGGG